TGACCCTCCCCGCCGCCTGACAACACCTCGGATGGGCACCCCCACCCGCACTTCTGTAGGTGTCTGCACTGCGGCCCTCAGCCCCTGGGCGGGGTGGAGTCTTCTGAGGACCCCCTGGGCAGGGCCGTGACTCTTGATTCCGGGGCTGCGCCCAGAGGAGTAAGTTCCGGGGCATCAGGGCAAGTGTTCCCCGCCCTGCATTGTGCATACACAGCCCAGTGATTCAGCGTGTTCCTGAGTGGACACCCTCCCTCTGCATCCCCCACCCAGCTCTGCGGTGGTCACAGCGCTAGGCCCTTACCCTCCCCCCATCCAGCCGGATTGCGTAGGCGGGGGTTCCACCTGAACTGCCCCACCCACGCTTCCACCACCTGCGGGGACGTTTGCTCCGTTGACACAGGTCTGAAGTGATCAGCCTGACCTGGGCATCCTGATTCCTTTTTGCTGTGAGCGGGCAAAGATGATTTGGGGGTGAACGGACAGTGGGAGGGGCCCTAGTGCCTCCACAAGATGCCCCCAGGATATTCCTGGGAGGGAACCTTTCCCTTCCTTCTGGGGTCCCGGGGAGCTGGGCCTTGGGAGGGCAGGAGCTTGGGCCATCAGAAATCAGCCAGGGAGGCCTGGCCAGATACCTGTTAGAACATCTTTTCATATACCAAGATTTCGGGTTAGATTCCTGGTTAGGGCACAAACAAGAATCAGTGAATGCATAAAATAATTTGAACAACAAATTGATGTTTCTTTCCCTTCCTCTATCAATAAATAGAAATTAAAAGAATCAACCAATGAATGCATAAATAACTGGAACAACAAATCAATCTCCAATTTAAAAATTGGCCAGAGGTGGTAGTCACTAATTTCAGAAACACCGCCTGGACCAGTGTTTTCTCCTCTATGAAATGGGAGATGTAATTATCTAGGTAGCAGTACTTGTGAAATGAGGAAATCCATGTAAAATAAAATGATTGTCCGGTGTCTGTCCAACCCCAAGTAGATGAAGGTGAGATCCCAGAGAAGTGGGAGACACAAACTGAGAAACTTCCCAGGCCAAGAGAGGGTTGTTCCTGGAGGCTGGATGCATGAAGGTCAGGGTTGGGGAGTGCTGGAATGCAAGGCCAGGGAGAGTTCACACTGGGTCTGGTTGCCTTGCACAACAGCCCCAGGGCCTGGGAATGATGGATTCCTTACTAGAGAGGGGGTGGGGAGTCTGGTGGTATCCTGGGAGGGGGCTCAAGTCTGGGGCCAACCAGAGCAGGGAATTGAAAGGGTAAGGCCCCACACATCCCCTACCCATACCCTGGACTTCAGGCCTTGGGCACTGGAGGTGGCCTTACCTGCCACTCCGCTGCAGGGACAGCTTCCTGCTCCCCCTCACCCTAAATCAGGGCGGGGGCCTGGGATGTTATGGGATCCACTTCACACCCAAGATGGTGGGAGACCCAGCATGCCACCTCATAAAGGCACCCCTCCCAGGCATGTAAGGCCACTAGTTATCATGCTCTGGAACAGCCCTCCCTCACCCCAGGGGAGCAGGAGGGACTTTCACTTGCGTCTTTTTATTACTTGAAATCATGGTGTTGGTGTTTGTGTAGGCCTGTTTTCATACAGGAAACTCACGAAAAGTGCAGGCACACCCCACAGCCAGACCCCAACCCCCAGGACTGGTAATGCTTTCTTCAGGGGCTGGCATGGTGAGGGAGGGGGGCCAGGCAAAGGTGGTTCCTGCCTGGGGCTTATAGACATTACTTAAAAATTGTTAAAAATAAAAGAGAACACACATTTAAATAGGTATCCAAGACAGTTTTTCAAAAACAAATCTGCCCCTCTTCTCTCCTTTTAGAAAAACAAAACAAATCTCTGACCCCTAACTTTCTGACCCCTCCTCCCCGCCCACCCCCCCACAAAAAAAATTTACAGAGCTACAGTTAACACATGATGTTCACATCTGAAACCATTAACTTGAAACACATAATGGGGAAGGAGTGAGGACCTGGGGGAGTTCATCTACAAGTAGGACAAAAGGAGGGAGACAGGCAGGGGGTGGGGTATCCTGCAGGACAGACAGGTATGTGTGTGGGGGGAAGGCCCAGACATCTCCATTTATCAGTAAAAAAAAGTGAATGAAAAATAAACTCCACCCACATTGAAATGGCCCCAATTAAGGGGAGGTTCCTGTCCCTCTGCTCTGGGGCCAAAGACCCCTGGGGCATGGGCATGAGTGGGGAGGTTCCAAATTAGACCAGCAGCAACCCTCCCAAGGGGTTAATGCTACAGTGTAGCCCCTAACCATGAGATTCACAGCTCAGCACCCCCTCCCCTCCAGGTTGCAGGAGAGTCACCCCCAGACACAGTCCACAGGCCCAGATCACTCAGGTTGGGCTGAGAAGTAGGGCTGGGGGCATCTCCCCGACCCCACAGCAATTTCTCTCCTGATTTTTCAAGAGATTCCCAACTACTATTGGCTCAGTCAGAAAATTAACAGTCTATAAATACCCAGAGCTCAGGAAAAAAAAAAAAAAAAAAAAGATGTGGGGTTGGAGAGTGGCATCAGAAGAGCATCGCACAGTGCGTGGCCAGCAAAGGCAGGCAAGTCCGTTCCCCTCCGTCCCTTTTCTGCCAGGAAAGGGTACTGACTACACCCAGACCCGCACTCCAAGGCAGGTTCTGGCCAGCCTCCCCTGAAACAGCTTTTCTTTTCCGGGAAAAAGAAACTAAGAAGAGAAAGTAGTACAGACGTGGAAGAGACAGCCCCTGGTTGGTGCAGCTGTGGGTCCTGTGAGGTGTTTGGTGCCCTGCGGGGCCCTGCTGGGTAGGCGGAGGCCAGAATTGGCAGTGGGGGTTCTCTTCTCTGTGGCCCCCTCCTGTCTGTAAAGTGCAAATGAGGCATCTACATTTTAGACTTAAACCTGAAGTGGGTGGGGGTGGTGGAGCATCAGAGCCAGCGGAAGGGGGGGGGGGGGCTTCTTCCTCATTTCTGCTCTGAACCATCTGGACAGACTGCTACATATTTGGAGCTTGGGAAGGTGGGCAGGGAAGGACCCTGCGTGGCTGAGGAGGGAGGGTGGGGGTACAGAGGAAGAGGTGGGGAGATGTGAGGCTGAACCGAGGAGGCAGGAACCCAAGGCCACGGAGGGTTTGGAAAACCATGGTAAGAAATGAAAATTTTAAAAAACCAGGGCGCTGGCTGAAGAGGGAGGGGCCTCCTGCAGTGCCCACTGCCTGCCCTCCTGAGCTGGGCGATGCTCTCAGCCACCCTGGGCAGGGGTGAGGGACAAGGTTTCTAGGCCACCACGAACTCTGACTTGATGTCGGGGTTAACTTCTGGCTTCCAGACGGATTCCTCGAAGTCAAGGCCCAAGCCCGCAGCCTCACTGGGGCTGCCACCACTGCCTCCGGGGCTGCTGTCGCTGCGGCCGGCCTTGCGGCTGGGTGGCCAGTGGTAGGGGCCTCGGGCATCCCTCCGGGCCTTTCTGCGGAGCCGTTTCTGCTGGAGCAGCAGCTGCAGGCGCTCCACCTTGCAGCGGGTGGCTCGGTTCTCCGTCTGCCGCAGCCGGTCCCCTGTAAAGGAAGCAATGACCATGACCCCCGGGGAGAGGCTGGACCCCCAGCAAATGCCCCCCAGCATTAGGCACAGTCCGGGGCCTCCTGGACACAAGTTCCATTGAGGGAGCGGATCAAGAGTATCCAGGGAATGAATCTCCAGTAGACTCCTGGGAGCTGT